CGACGTTTCTGAAATTTCTTTCCGGGCTACCGCCTCCGTGATCTAGTGGATAAGGCGTCTGCTCGGAGAGCGGAAAGTTGGTAGTTTGATCCCCGGTCGCGTCACACCAAAAGTTGTTAAAAGATTGTACTTGTTGTTTCCCTGTCTGGCGCTCGGCCTAAGGGGATAAGACAGAACTGGTCGGTTCGGATCGGTATACTGTGTCTGTGTGGGATGTATGTTAACTGACTGAGTATGGTTTTACGCCTCTTTTAGCAATATTCCAGCAATATCACGGCGGGGGACACCAGAAATGGGCTTCACACATTGTACCCATGTCGGGAATCGAACCCGGGTCTTCGGCGTGACGAGCGAACGCTTTAACCACTAGGCTACCCGACCGCCCGGATGTATGTTAAACGTAGACATGATATCTAGCTCACTTCTCGTCAGAGCCGGGTCAAATAATGACCGGATATACAATGTTGCCCTGTGTCCTCCTACCAGGATGTTTGCTCATGCTATCAACCACCGGTCTGCCTCGATTTTTTACAAGCCACCTTATCATAGATGAAATATTGCTGACTATGACGTAACATATTCATTCACTATATTATTTTAAAGTCGACACGCGTGTTTATGTCTATATTATACTGAGCGGTCGGGTAGCCTAGTGGTTAAAGTGTTCGGTCGTGACGCCGAGGACCCGGGTTCGATTCGCGACATGGGTACAATGTGTGAAACCCCTTTCTGGTGTCCCCCGCCGTGATATTGCTGGAATATTTTTAAAATCGGCGTAAAACCAAACTCACTCACTCACTCACTATATTTTACAATCTCCCGGGGAATCTATTCCACACATATAGACATACCAGTGTAATGTTATAAGGAATTGTTCGCGAGCCATTTCAAAGCTGAATTGTCTCACTTATTCGCGTTGGGGGTATGCGAAGAACGAACGCTATGTTGACAGCCATATAAACAGGCCAACAAGTCCACAAGCGATTGACCGAGGTCGTGAAACTATCTACCTCAGTACAGGATGTCGTGTTGGACGTTAATTTACTGAAAATGTTGTGGTGTGTGTAGAGACGCCAGGTTACAGCGCAAAGCCCCGTCAACAAGCGCGTGGCGTGTGCTGACATATACAAAACAAACAATAAAAGCCGAGATTTGAAATGTATTAAGGCTAAGGGAGTACATTACCCTCAACACAAGTAACAATTTTCCCAGCTTAATCCTTCTCTTGGGATCGAGTTCCCAGACCCATTCATAGCGAGGCGAAGTTCTACCACCGCGAGTGAATGCAGCGATTTCGTCAACAATGGCGTTATTGTCAAATATACACCGGCTCAACATGTCGTTTCTTTATCACGTCCTCTCTGAGATTCTTCACAAAACGCGCCTCATCCTTCACGTTTTCCAACCCACTGGAAACGCTTGTTAAAGCCCCACCCTCACGATCGAGGGTGCCCTCCCTGCCTTCATCCTTCCCTCCCGACACGATGGGGAGGTTTTGCGTCTGAACGTCACTTGGGTAGTTCTCTGAATCACTTATAACGAATGAATCTCTTTCCGACACAGAATCCTTAGGAATACACATAACGACGTCACAACTTTGGTCTTTTGAGTCTGAAAATCCGAAAGGGATGTTCTCATATATGGGTTCTACGTGACTGTTTGATTCGGCGTGGGTTGTGTTTGGGTGAATTACTCTCTCGATACAGTTATGAACATTCCCTGAACAATCTGTAACAGTCACAATGGGAACCCTTGCGGACGACTGAACACTCTGACCACTGTATTTGCCGTGGCCAGAATATCTGCCTTGGCCATTACACGATGGCCAAACATGATCATCGGTCTTATTTCTAGATTTTTCTTTGACGCCATGTTGAATTTCGTTTCGGTTTACAATCATCCGCGCATGCGCAATGACCATTCCGGGGTAGCATTTGGGAGATGTTTCGTCATAATAATCCTCAAAACTTAAATCCATATCTCTGGCAGTGCTCATATATTTCACAGCTTTTTCCTTTCGGTCCACAATAGGGTCTGTGTTATATACAAAAGTTCTTTCATTTGTATTTTCACTGAAGTGAACCTTTTTCGATTCCTTAACTTCCAGTTCACATGAACATTGGTCGCTGTCAGAATACCTGCCCGAGTCATGGCTCCCACACACACTCTTTAGACTTGTGACGTCACAAATGACGTCAGCAACATGTGACGTTTTATCTTTGTGATATCCCGAGCTGGAGGAAATATGATTGACATCTTCTAAAATCAAACGATTTCCGTCAGGATCTGTGGTAATGTACGTATTTTTACCAATCTCACGCAAATCCGTCCGGAGTACACTCTGTAAGTCCGCAATATTCCGAATCTTGAAGCTGATGTTAGCACGGGAAAGCGGAAACGGTTTGAGGTGCCTGCACCGTTTGAGACACAACATCACTTGAAAATCGCCATCACTTGACACCGGGAACAAACAGAAGTCAGGTTTAGTGCTCTCCATCTCGGAGTCTGTAACAAGGCGGTAAAACTCCACCATATCCGAAAAATTGTTCACGAATAAGTTTAAACGGAGATGTTCAAAACCGGAATAAACCGGACACACTGACCAGAGAGGATACTCTCGAGACAGCGAGTAAAACTCCTGTTGGGCGACCTTGACCGACGGAGTTCGTTTACTCTGAAGTTCAATTTTATGATGTACTCTCCACGGGGGCTTTTTGAAGCACTTCTGTACGTCCTGAACGGGCGTTGTACCACGTTCTTGAAGAAACAGCATCACAGCAAGCGCTGGGGTGGAGAGTAAAGCTTTGTTGTCTTGGTAACGAGGAATATTGCCGCCATGTTGGAATTGCATTCCAGGAGGTAGTTTACTGAGTGTTTGATCTTCATTGATGTGAACACAGACGTTGGACGGATCGAACCTCCGTAGAATTGGTTGCAGAATTTTCTTGAATTTATCACATCTGTGACGCGGGGCTTCAATGTTCAAAATGCATTTTTGTGTTCTGTGTTGCCCTTCACATCTAGACGACGCCCGTAGTCCTCGAAGTTCCATTTTATCCCTACTATGTATCAGTCAATACAGCTCAGTCATGTATACAGTTTACGTCAATGTATACACTTACAATAATGTATACATCTCAGCGATGTATCCATTTTTTGTCATCAGTCACATTTAAGCATGAGAGTTTATATCGATGTTCACAAACACTTCAGCGTATTCACCTCACGATCGTATTGAAACCAGGTCCATGTTCACTATCCACATTCATCTATACAGTCATGTATACGGCCCAAAACACACCTTTTCATCTGAAATATAATCACATGAATTTATTATTGTGACATGAATTGGCAAATATTTCCAATCAGACTCAATCATACATATCCCTCAATAAATTCCCATGGTCGTCTTTCAGCGACTTTTTTGTACAAAAGAAAGACGGTGTCGAGCATTGGGTGACAAACCATATCAAATAGATGCAGTTTTGAATCATTAAATTGCACTCAAACTACTTTCTGATCCCACTTAAAGCAACCCTCTCTCGTGAAATGTGCTTCATATATAATTACTAGGAACATTTGCCGGCTATGATTCTATTCACGCATATGTAATATCGTCATAATGCTTCACCGAGTTTGTGCAGCTCATTGTATATTCAACCGCCACGAGAAAGACATAAATCTTTCCCAGGGAAAAAAGTTTTAACTATAGTTGATCTGTCTGGTTAGAGGTTTCGCTCAAGTTGGCTTTACGACGTGTGTATTTGTGCCCCATGATTCTCCCCACAATACACGCAAACACTCGTGGTAAAAGATCCATCTCACAAACTCGTGGGTTAGAGGTGCGCTATGGTCTTCAACACCGTAACAACCCAAAATGAAACAGATATCTTCAATGTTACACATACTGCTTGTTAGTCCAAATACGGAAGCTATATTTCCATAGCGGTGTACGGATACCTTGATGGACGGATGGACGGAAAATAATAGACGTGTCTATTTAATCAAATGAACTATTTCGCTCGGAGGAATGTCCTAGTTCTTTTCCCTCTGTAGGACAAGTTTTAGGCGAGATGTGTACATGTCTGTGTGGTTTTACTACACAAAGAGGTGCTGAATATTAAAGTGAAATATATCAGTGTCGATTTCAATGTGGCTTTACAAAAGCAAATAACCGGGTCATCAATTTCACCTCCCGAAATTTTCTTCCTTAATTCCACGTAACAGATTACAAAACATCTCCGTACAAAAGAACATCCTTCCCCGGATGAAATGTTTCACAAAAAGTTGACATGAATTATACATACACAGATCATACCACTTACCCAACTCGTAGAGCTAAAATAAACACATATCACTGTCACTCGTGACAATGGAGTCCAGGCATTAAAACCCACGTTACTACAATCCTCGTTTTTCCTAAAGGTGATGCATGAATTCCTTCCTCAGTAAACGCACGTTCAGTTGAAATCAACATGTTTTTCATGAGCCCGTCGTTGAAACTGACAACCCTCGCGAATGACACGAATGTACATTTCAGTGGTAGGCATAGCTTGTGTGTATATATACGCTATGTTGATATTCCCAACACGTTTATGTATCCGAACACGCTAAGCCTGCACGCTGATATTTCTGAATGGTACCTGCCTCACCACGTCTCTCTATAGTACCCTACGCTCGTGGCCAACTAGTGGTCTAATCCTATTGGCCCAGAAAGAAATATGTATCTCATTTGACCTCCCAACCCCTGCCTTGTAAATAATAGCTACATCAGGCAGGAGCGTAACGCAAGGCAATGAGCGATTATTGCGGTCCGACTAGGTAATCTGTCTTCTCGCGGGATAGCTTGAGTTAAATTCTACTCAGGTGATTGTCTGCCGTGTTAAAGGCTGTGCTTGAACCAGCAGGGACCCTTAATGGTGCTATTGTAATCTTATTTTCGGTCGCTACGGTTAAGCCCGTTTCGCTTCTTGATAAACTTAGTTAACACCCCATTGTAATAGAAAGACACCGTCTCAAGATGAAATTCGATATCAAGGACGCCCAGCTGTTTTGACCAATAGTGTTGTGTATATTATTAAGGGCTTAACACTGCATTGACTGTACATATAAAGTTAGGTGGTATTTCATCATTAAGTTGAATGCAAACAGCGCGTCTTTGGTGAAGCTTGATAGCCACACTGACACGTCTTAATAAGGTCATATGTATTGATTATTTTGGGATAATGAATCTTGTCGTTGAATGACATCAAATCATCAATTATTGATCACTATCGTGTCCTATAAATGACAAGGGGATCGATAGGCACCAAGATAAACACGACTAAAACGCCATTGTGGCTACTTCTAGATGGATATCTCTTGTATGACACTCAGGGTGGCCTTAAAGCAAATTAGGATAACATTGTGAACTCGGACTCCCATTATCTACCCTCGCCTGAATTCCGGCACACAATTGCTCCGCTGTACCCCTTGCTTGTCTGTCTGCATGAACTCATAATACATTCCTAGTACCCCTTGTTTGTATAATCGTGTGCATTTAGTGCTAGAAGTGATTCCCTGTGCGCCGTGCGTGTCTTTCTGCATGAACGTGAAGCCTGGGGTAGAATTGTCCCAAAGTATCCGATGTTGTGTAATCGTGTGCACTTAGGGCCAGAATTGATCCCTCTTGCCCCCTGCTTTGTAAGAATTCCTCAGCAGAATCTGTTTCTATTGTCACATGTCTGTATCCCTTGTTTCCAGTGCCGAATAGGTCCCTAGTACCACTTCCTTGTCTCCATGTGCGAATTCTGGGACAGGAAATGTCCCAAGTACCATCTACCTGTCTCCATGTATGAATTCTGGGACAGAAAGGGTCCCAAGAACAATCTGCTTGTCTTCATGTGTGAGTTCTGGGACAGAAAGGGTCCCAAGTACCATATCATCTTCGTGTCTCCATGTGTGAATTCTGGGGCAGAAAGGGTCCCAAGTACCATATCATCTTCATGTCTCCATGTGTGAATTCTGGGGCAGAAAGGGTCCCAAGTACCATATCATCTTCGTGTCTCCATGTGTGAATTCTGGGACAGAAAGGGTCCCAAGTACCATATCATCTTCATGTTTCCATGTGTAAATTCTGGGGCAGAAAGGGTCCCAAGTACAATCTACCTGTCTCCATGTGTGAATTCTGTGACAGAAAAGGTCCCTAGTACAATCTACTTGTATCCATGTGTGAATTCTGGGACAAAATAAATGCCTAGTACCACGTGCCTTTTCGCCTCGTGTGTATTTAGTTCTAGAATTGATTCCCAGTACACCATCAGTTGGAGTGTTAGTTGTATGCGCTGACGACGCGAATTGTTTATTCTATCAGCCATTGCCCTATACAGAGTACGTGACTCAGCCATTGCCCTATACAGAGTACGTGACTCAGCCATTGCTCTGTACAGTGTACGTAACACAGCCATTTCCATATACAGAGTACGTGACTCAGCCATTACCCTATACAGAGTACGTGACTCAGCTATTTTCTCTGTACAGTGTACGTAACACAGCCATTTCCCTATACAGAGTACGTGACTCCGCCATTGCCCTATACAGAGTACGTGACTCCGCCATTGCCCTATACAGAGTACGTGACTCAGCCATTGCTCTGTACAGTGTACGTAACACAGCAATTTCCATATACAGAGTACGTGACTCAGCAATTGCCCTATACAGAGTACGTGACTCGCAGAGATACAGGTAAGACAGCGAGTTGCAACTGGGTGTAATCTAGGTTAGTATTTACTCTGGTCAGTCCGACTCCGAGCGTGTGATAAGACTGTTCTAATATTACAGTATATTGCGTCGATCCATCACTGACACAAAGCCAGCTTCCCTTTGACGGTGACTACCGCCACTCTCGCTCAGATAACCATAGTCTAACTATTCGGACGGTATTACACCTCACTCGTTCAGTATGTAGGGGTCAGTGAGGAAATGACGTTTTACGCTGCTTTGTTAGACTAAGTAATATTCCAGCAACATCAAGATCCACTTGTACAAAGCGATCTTAGCGCAACGACTATCGTTACTCCCTTACTTTAACAAAGACTTACGGTAGCTACCTAGCCGATGGCCGGGCTGGACTCTCCACAAGCGAACAATGCATGTGATATTGTTGGGGAAATGTAAAAGGCGGCGTAAAATAACACTCACTCACTTACACTCTGTATGTTTGTCGTGATCATTCCACATAACAATTGCGATTATATAGTTGATCCTGTACAAACCTGTATATCTGTCATATTTTGTAAGATAGAAAATAGGAGAACAAGGTTTCTTAGTCTTCCCGTAGTGAATTGACACGGAGTATCCATCACCTTGACACATTGACACCTTTACATGGATCCCGTCTTACTAAACGATAATACTAATACAGGCGGTAGGCGATCTCTCGTACACTGTGATTGGATAACGCTAAACATGGCACTCATTGGTCCTTTGTGTCGAATGAAAACAAATAGCGGACTACGCGAAGTTTGCGTGTGAAGTAAAATTGATGTCGCCCAAATCAACATTAAAAGAGCAGTTAGGTATCATGTTGATAGCCCAAAACAAACTTTCGAAGGACATGTCTCAATGTGAATGCATTTTGGCAAGTAAAGACGTTACGCATGCGCACCATTAACCGGATATGGTACAGGTTTATGCCCCATGTTTGGGACGCCGACTGTTGGCTAAAAGCGTTATACATGCTGTGGAAATCAACAGTGAGGCCAAATTAATGCAACACCGGGATGATATAATGTTAAACATTTTCGAATTCTTAATTGAATCTCATATAGCTTGTTATCTCAAAATTCGGCCATTGACCCCTTTCATTGCGCAAGTCGTGCAAGTCCAGGATCCTCTACCCGTGGGTTCGAGTCTAACATACGCCCTGGGTTTGTTACTACCATCCCAGGGTAAACGTCCACCAACTGGGTTTCCCCCCTGGTGAGCGGACACGCCGTGATATAACTGACAGATAATACTTTAGTAATTGCTCTCACTCACTGCGATGGTCCCCGTGAAGATCCGAGTTTTTTTTATCTTCAGCAAACCATGGATGTCGTAAGAGGAGACTGAGGGGATCAGGTGGTCACGCTCTCTGACTTGGTGGATGCATGTCATCATATCCCAACTGAGCAGATCGATGTTCATGATGTCAATCACTGGATTGTCTGGTCCAGACTCGATTATTACTTTCACATGGCTGGAATACTGCGCTGTGTTAAACAACAAACAAACTTAGCGACTGGTCACACATATCACTCACTCCATATTTATCCTTGCGTGGGGCAACCGGTAGCCACTCGTCTTGGCTTAGATCTACACGTCAATCTCCAGTTGGGGTGAGTTTAAGTACACCTTGCACAACATCAGTTCGTTAATGTGAAATATTTTGCTACTTCAAAGAGTTTGTAACGCATATCTATTTTCATCGAAAAAACTGTCTGAGCAGTTTAGCAATAATCGTTACGTGCAAACCTGCAAATACAAGTACAGAAGGTTCTTGCTTAAGGGAAAATACTAACAGCTGACTCACAACGTGATAATCACCCTGCCTCACCTGCCTAACATTCTTTACGTACCGAACTAGGTTAATTGCAAATTACCTGAGATGGAATATTTGGTTGCGATAGCATGCACAGCACCGTTACCATCGCAACAACAACAGGGAAACATTGTTTAGGAGAGTAATGAGAACTGACACCAATGAAATATACACTTTTACCAGAGCACAAATGTCATGGTCTGCGGTTCGCGTTGTGATAAACCTGTGATGCTTATTGCACCGTGACTTGAAATTGATTACAGTTCGGTCTGCAATTGTGTAGCTGATCCATTATAAATGGCGACTGGCTGTATTCTGAAAACCGTAAATAGATTTGGTTATATCAATGTTGGATCGTTGGTTATATAACTGGAAACGCATTGTTGCAAGGAAATGTACTCGGTAATAAATTTTGTCTATTTCTGGATATCGACTTCGAAACATAACGTCGTATTTATGTTCGTCATTGAGTACGTAACGCGAGTGTATACTTGATCACTATAGTAGAATATGTCTTCGTTATTATGTTATTGTTTGTTTGTTGTTTGTTGTTAACGCCTCACTCAGCAATATTTTAGCTATATCACGGCGGTCTGTACATAATCGGGTCTGGACCAGACAATCCCGTGATTGACATCATAAGCATCGATCTACGCAAGTGGGTTACAATGACATGCATCAACCAAGTCAGCGAGCCTGACCACCCGATCCCGTTAGTCGTCTCTTATGACAAGTACAGTCGTCTGTGACGGCAAGCATGGGTTGCTGAAGACCTATTCTAACCCGGATCTTCACGGATCTAGTACTATGTGTATCTATTATCCATATGTTTGTAGGATTTCGATAAGTATCATAAACGAAAATCACCCTTTTATCTGAATTACATTTTTCGCGAAATCAATTAACACAAAATGGTCATTTGCTAATTATCTAAGATATTTCATAAGATATAGTTCATCTAGTGTATTCATCACCCGAGGTTTACAGCCATTCAGTGTCAGGTGGTGAGGTAGACTAGTGGTTAAAGCGCAAGCACGTCACGCCCGGGTTCGATTCCCCAAACGGATGCTATGTGCGAAGCCCATTCTGGTGTTCCCCGCCGCGATATTGCTGCACTGTTGTTAAAGGCGGCATTAAAACCAACTCGGTGTGTCGATATGTGAGCATCACGAAAACAGTGTCTTGTTCTCCTCCACGTGCCCATTGTGCAAAGTGAATTCAGATATGACGTTTTATGAGGTGAGGCGAAATGGAGTTTGACGTCAAGATTATTGCACTTGTATCGCGACGTGCATGCACATGTCTGTATGATTGCTTATGCCATGCCGGTTTTATAGAGCTTTACGCACTGAGATACCATGCCGGTTTTATAGAGCTATCCTACTGAGATACCATGTCGGTGTCACACAGCTAGCCCACTGAGATACCATGCCGGTTTTT